CGGCGGCCGCGCCTGGCCCGGCTGCGGCGTGCGGGCGACGGCGAGCCCCGAGCCGGCAGGGGCCCGCCGCGTGCCCTGTTACCGGCGGGGGAGGCGGGCGCTGCTGGAAGGGCGCCCCCGGGCGCTTCCCGCAGAGGCTGCCGCGCTGGGGGCCAGCAGAGCAGAGGCCCGCCGGGGGCCCGCGGAAGAGGCGGCCTGGCTTCCTGCGGCCGCTCGCTGTCGCTGGCGGAGCGCTGCGCGGGCGACAGGCGCCGGTTGTTTGCAAGGGATTGAGAGCGCCGGATAAAGGCCCCATTGTGCCGCCTTCTGGGGCTGCAGAGGACAAAGAGGCTCAGCTGGCGGGCCCCGAGGCGTCCTCTCTCCGCAGCCCGATCTTGAAAGCTAAGCAGTGGCGTTGGCTCCCTGCCCACCCGTTGCCCACCATTTTTGATCCAAGTGCAAGGGAGCAGCACGGTTCAGGGAAGAAATCTGCAAAGCTCCGGGATAGGTGGAGAGGGCCGCCGAGAACAGTGCCCAAGGGCTCCAGAGGCAAAGTCAGTCTGTCCCCCTGGTGTCACGCCCCCCTTTCCCCTGAGCACCAGCCGTCTGTGGTTCCCCAGCATTTGTGCCTTTTTCCTCCGCTCTGACAAGTGGACTTGCTCCCCAGGGCCGAGTTGTTGGCGTGAAGAACTCTGAGCAACAGGATGTTTATTTATTTATTTATTTATTAAAACATTTTTATGCCGCCCCATTCGCCGAAGCCTCGGGGCGGCTTACAACATAGGACATGTTGGTGCTCTTGGGATTTTAGCCTCCTCTCCTTGCTGTCCTGAAATGGTCTTTGGCCCTCAGAAGGAAACGGTGCTGCCCGTCTGTGCTAGAGCGCTGCAGAGCAACCCGAGGCTTTTCCGCGGTGAAGCCTGGCGATGCTGGAAGAAAGGCCCTGCCGGGGTGCCCCGTGCCCTCCCCGGGCAGATCGTGAGAGGCCCGCGGCCGGCATGCGCCAGGACCAGGAGACGGACCTGCCCGTCCTTCAGGGCACTGCTCCTCTGCCCTCCTTGGGACGGTTGGAGAAGCGGAATGAGAAGGTGCAGTCGGGAGACAAAGCTGCCGGCCATGCGGCCGCACACGAACCCTCGCTCCGCGGCAGAGGCGTGTGGAGCCCGCGGCTGCTTCACCTTCGGAGGGACGCCCTCTTCCCTTGCCTTGGGACTCGACAGGACAGGGCCAAAGCTGCCCGTCCAGGTGGGGCTGGGAATTAGGCCAGCTCTGACGCACCTGTGTCGTGTTTACCCCAGAAGGCCACCTTTGCGAGGACGGGAATCCGGTACGGACAAAGCGTGGGGCACCCAGGACACTCGGCAAAGCCCGGGCACTGTTCTGCTTTGCTGTTGGGAAAGCTCCGCCTGTGGTTTTCAGCGTCTCAGCAAGCAAAACCCCAGACGGGGAGGGAGGCGTGGCTGTGGCAGTTCTCGCTCCTTTCCCACCGGGACGGCTGCCAGAGACGTGTGTGTGCGGGAGGCGGTCTCCTTCTTTGTACACGTGTGTGCAAGTTTGCTTAGGTTTGCTGCTTCGGTGGCACCTGGTTGGACTCTGCCTGCTGCCGGTGAGCAAACTCTGCCTGCCTGGCCGGGGGCCAGGAGTGGGGAGCAAGGCTGTGGCCTCAGAGCGGAGCAGCGGGGCGGGGGAGGCCTTGCCCTGACTTGTTGGCGCCGGAGCACTGCCTCGAGCCGGCGGCTGTGCAGGCGGAGCTGCAAGATGGTGCCGAGGGTGCTCCCCCACCCCCCGCTGGGCCACGAGGGCCAGAATGCCCCTCGCAGCCACTCGGTGGGGCACGGCCCCGACCGGGAGGGCGTTTGCCAGGGTACCGGAGCGGAACAGCAGTGGCTGAATGGCTTGAGCACCGCAGGCCCCCCCCCCATTTTTGTTTTCGGGGGAATGCACAAGGATGGCA